AACAAGAGTGTAACATATCACTTAGTAGCACAATGTCCTCTGCATACTCCAGATTGGACAATGTGCCATCTGGGGGTAAATCGATACCGCTCTCCTCGCACGAGGATAGGCCAGTTTCAAAGATTACATCATTGACAAAGTTACGTAGAAACGGAGAGAGAGAGAGAGAGGGCAGCCCTGTCGAACACCACTTTATGTAATGAACTTGGGTGAAAAAGAGCCTCAAGCTTGAACTCGACTTCGGCTATTAATATAAAGAAATTGTATTATAGAAGTTAACCGCACACCCTTTAGAGCGAGGCAGCGCCAGAGTTTGGAGCGGCCGGCTGAGTCGAAAGCCGCTTTAGAATCGAAGAAGACAGAGATAATGATCTACGAAAACAATGTCAGTGCTCCAGAATTTGGCAAAGAGTGAAGATGTGGTTGATACAACCTCGACCAGGTCTAAAACCAGCCGGGTTCTCACGTGTGCACTCTTCGCGTGCGGCGGATAATCGACGGAGTATGATGCCAGCGAAAAGTTTAGAGACGATGTTGATTAAACTAATTTCTCTGAGGTTTTCACACGGGTATCTGTCACCTTTCTTGTAAATCGGTATGATCACCGATTCACACGATTCAGCTGGAAAATCTTCCCTCTCCCACATTGAAGCCAGAAGTTTCATTAACTCCAAGACTAACGTTGAGCCTCCATCCTTAAAAGCCGATGGGGACAGTCTGTTCAGGCCGGAAGCCTTATACCTTTTGAGATAATTCATTTCTCGGGTAATCTCTATTTCAGATTTCTCTTACTCTTCTTTCAAATAAATACCCATAAGACAGCAACTGATACCGACATACGACAGTGCATAGTTAATGGTTGCTCAAGCTTAGAAATTGAAAACTCCGTCTGCTGCTCATCACTCGAAAATGTGTATTAAAAAAGTGATTTGCGCAGTCTTTACGAAATCCCTTCTTAAAAATTGAAACGAGTGATTCGCTCCAGGATGATAGAATACACTCTCTTGATCAAATGTTGTGCAGTGAATTAGTAATGGAATCTACGCGGGAGTCACCCTAAGCTTAAAACGAATGGGAAAAAACCCGTCAGGTCCCGATGTCTTCCTTTTCTCTAGAGATTGAATACAGCATCGTATTACTAATTCTGCTGGAGGTTCACATGTGCCCAGCGATCAAGTTGTTGTACTGTAATGTTGATATATTGTTCACTTTTATCACAAATAGTTCCACTGACCGGTATGCGACGATCTCCGCGGGCACTTCATGGAAGTCTACCATCAGTGAGATGGTCTTTTTAGAGACGTGAACTGATGATGACATATCTGTTCGATTCTCTTGCGATAACACTTGAAAGGTGAAAATTGCTTACTAAAATGTGCCTGTCATATGTACTGTGCGCATGTTCTTTAGATTAACGGTATTCATTTGTATGTATTCCATTACAAGCATAAACAATACTCTATTTTGTAGGTTCGCTTGTTACTGCCTTTGCTTCGACTTAATTGTAGCTAACTACTGTTATTTGGGTTATCATCTATTATATTCCACAGTTTATTAGACTCGTTACCTCAAACCCGAGTCCATAGGTTTCTTTTTACGCATTTCTTGATACCACAGTTTACTTTTTCCTGTGCATCATTTCATAATATGTATTTACAGCAGCGGACTGTTTATTGTAGACCCTCGGTGTTTCATTATATATTATCAGAAGATTTTGAATCAGTTCTACTGTTCGCCAATATATACATGTAGATAAGCCGACAGAATAACTTTGCGTTATTCCTTTCTTCTTGAACAAGCTACCCGATCAGAATTGCGTGGTCTGCTGGGAAAAGTTGGGCGATGCCAGGGAATTGCCTTGCGGCCATGCTTTTCACGCCGCGTGCCTGCATATATGGCTGGAACGCACTGCGCATTGTCCCATCTGCCGATCACGCTTGGAGTCATTGGATATGGAATCCACACCCGTGTCGGAATCGCAGAGATGGAATCAAGTGCGTCGCAACGAAGTCTCATTGTACGTAACGCAGCAACAGTCAGTGAGGTCCCCTTCAAGGTTCACACATGCCTCATCAAAACGTGTAGAAACATCGGAACAAACAAATCGATGTGCTGCTCTCAAAGAAGAATCCGTTATCGAGCCCTGCCGTTCTTGTTCTTCCGGTTTGGGTTATGCTGGTTCCTCTGGTAATATGTTTTTTTCCGTGCCGGACTACGGCGGAACGTCAAATACCGTGTCCGCAATGGTGAGTATACATCAATTGTTGGATGTGCCCAATGATTCTCACAATGGAAGCACCAGTGGAGTTGATTTGAACGCTTCTTCGTGCAATTCGTTGCTCCCGGCCAAGTTTGTGGAAGCTCTTGAAGCTGAGTTGGTACGTTTTAAACTAAATCTTTTAACAGAATATTTCTTATTACGTCGACGTCATCTTTTGCCTGTTTAAATCTCTGGGGGGGGGGGGGGTGCACAGAGAGCACTTGACAGATTAGCAAGTTCTGTTGCTCCATTTGACATGCGCTTTTCACCTTCGAAGTGCGAAGTGATGCTGCAAGACCGGATGTTGCCGAGTTCTGTCCTGAAACTAGACGGTCAGGATTTTTTTCTATAACACATGCGTGTGATGAACAGCAAATGAGGTAAACTCCATAGTCGCGAGGACCTGCCATTCTGTGATAGACACCGATAACCTGAGCCTCGGGACTTTGAGTGGTGAACCACATAAGGCCTCGAAAGGTTAGGTGTGGTATTGAACCGGACGACAGCAACGCTGCTCACCATTAAAGTTGGGTGGTGATGACGGGGCTCGAATCTCGGACCACATGGTCCAAAGCACCCCTGTGGCAGCGACTAAATAATTACGACACCACCAGGAATTAGCTGAAGTTGACTGCTTCTCGTACTTACGTAGCTGCGTGACCAACGACGGTAGTGCATCGAAGGAGATAACAGCCCGCATTTCCAAGGCTCGAGCAGCGTACGCAGGACTAAAACACCTGTGGCGGCGACGTGACGTGTCATTAAAGTTGAAAGGTCGCGCATACTGCGCCACTGTACGATCAGTTCTGCTTTACGGTTGAGACCTTGACTTTGCGAGTAGAAGACATCTGTTGTCCATTCGTTTTTGGCAATTGATTTTTACGTAGTCTGGCCCAAGTGGGATGGAGTGAGCGAGTTAATAACCTAGAAGTAAATTGTCCGGTGTTTGGGAATGCATGGAAAAAGAACTCGCTATCCAATGGAATTCATCTCAATAGTCTCCGTTGTTCAGGAGTATGTCTAACGGTCGCGTACCACACCACGCCTTATGTGCAGTAGCCGCTTCAGACTGGAGAAAGCCACGTTGAGATTGGTTTTAATCCTCTTGCCACACGTCTGTCTGTCTGTCCGTTACACATAGTACTCCTTTTTTGACCGTCTCTCTTTCACTGTCGTGCACATTGGACCAAGCGGTAACCGCATCGTGATCGGTCGTTGATAGAATTTCTCGTTGACTCAGTATCTGTGTTAACTGTCCGAATAACGTTCCCGTTTTCCTTGGTGGGACGGGTTGAATNCCCTGAAGTCTCCCCACTGCTAATTTTACGTGCCTCGGATTATGCGTTTGCCTGTATGTTAAATACTAGTAGCATGTTGCGACAGTATGACCCACTTTACTAGGTAATCACATTTTGCAAAAACAATACGCTTGGTTATCACATGCTTTATTTATTGCCTTCTTGAATATATTTGCGCTACTGAGTCCGAGTAAACTACGTTGATCACAGTTTCCCTAATTCCCAGACCATTCATAATACGGGAAGTTTACCAAAGTAAGTCATGAAATTTATTGAATAATGTCCCAGCCGTCTTTGAGGTGCATTCCTTATTTTTTATCGTATGATGAACGGTAGTGCACACCTAAATCAAGTAGCTTCCTTGCCACGAATATATTTAAGAGATTTCAGACGATTTGACATGGTGTAGCAAACCACCTGAACCTCCGACTAGTTAGGTGCTGTTTACCGCTAAAATAAAGTGCGAGGATTATAGCGTGAGAAACAAATCCAAGTCTCATTATGAGGTCCAAATGATATTTGCTGGTTGTAGACACTTGGAGACATAGTTTTAAGCCGCAACGACTGAGATTGGTGCTGTTCCTTCCTTCCTTACATGTATCCCTGAAAGAAAGATCAAAAGGTACATATAACAAAGATACTTTTCTGTATATATGTATATATATAATAACTAAAATATAACTAATATATACAATAACTAATTTTCACCAAAATCCAAGATATAACTGACCAGTGTTCACCTCATAGACGCTTCGCTGAATTCACAGAAGGATGATGTTTTGTTTTTATTCCCCATAGATTCACAGATCTGAGGCCTCTGTATCATTGTTCTTCTGTGCTTCTCACTCTTTGGGAGCTGATTTGACTCCCATTTGTTGGAAACGTTGGACAAATGTAGGTATTGAATGGACAGCTGGAGAAAAACTGTGCGATTTAGAGTACACCGAGGATACCGCCTGTTTGTTCGAATGTATGGAGGACACGCAAAGTGCACTTGATAGACTAACAAGTGCGGTTGCCACATTCGGTACGTGCTTTACACCAAAGTGCAAAGTGATGCTACAGGACTGGGTGTCGCCTACTCCCACCTTGAAACTAAATGATCAGAAGTTAATTATTATGGATTATTTTTCGTACTTAGGTAGTTCCGTCACCAATGACGGAATTGTAGCATACTGCAAGCACCAGAGGTCGGAGTTCAACAAACCTCATTTTCACCCTGAATGCCCTCGATTTCGTGTCATTGAAACTATTTTCCCATTTCCATCACGACGAGACTGCACATTGACGTGGTGTGATGGCTTGCTCGCCTCAATTACCCTGTGAGCTATACAGGATGGCTCCTCAGCCGCAGATCTAATCATGCCTGAAAGATCAACGGGTAGAGGCCAGACGAACTTCGGTCTCAAAAGGCCAGCTGCTTGGGCACCTCCTGGTCTTCTTCTATCCATACCCGCCCCTGGAGAGGTCACTCCAGAAAATAAACACGCCAAGGGGCAGTTTACCGATCAAAAAACCCCGTTAGGTGGATTTAAGAGCGGAGTACCTGGCTCTTCCTCTCAACGGTGGGAGAAGTCTTCGCACTGCATTGGGCAGCTACCGCCCGACCAAGCTGGGCAGCCCCCAACCAATAAGGTGATGTCCCGTCNGTCCACGTTCCGCTTGTCTCATTGGGTGCATGAGGCTAAGGGCCGATCCCGAAAAGCGGACCGATGATCAACGCACCAGCGAACAAAACAAGTAATCGAAATTGAAGGGCCTTGCGTGACGGGTCTTCAGAAGCTGCCACATAGGTGCCTCGTTCACGCTTCCGCGTTGGATTTACGCCCCACTGCCTTGTGGGTCAGACTCTTGAGTCAAAGGCTCCGGTTAGGGTTCCCAAAGAAAAACCCCCTCGTCGGTGTGGGCTACCGCGAAGTATGTCGTGCCCTAAAGTCTTATGCACTCATTTGGAAAATCCTCCTTCACATCTGTCTAGTTCTTCCTCTTAATCCCGAATAATGCCTTACACCTACTATTTACAAGACCTATCGGATATCACAGCCTTTTAGCTACAAGGCCAAACATTCGGAAGTGACGGGATTTTTGAAGCCGAAATTCCCTTTTCACTTAGCCGCGTTCAATGTCCGCACACTATCAGATTGGTCAACAAGCTGCCTTGGCTAGAACCCTTGAAACTTTCAATTTAGATGTATACTGTGTCTCCGACACACGCATACAAGACCCTGCTTCCATTATCTCTCTGCGTTCTCCTGATCAGACCTCAACCTCACGCTTCACCCTTCGTGTATCAGGCGATTCGGTAGCGGTAGCTCGAGATGTTGCTGGTGTCGGGATTGCGCTAAGTGCCAAGGCTGAGCGCTCGCTTCTTGACTGGATTCCAGTCAGTAGCCCAATGTGCGCTGTACGTCTCAACGGTTTAGTTCGAGTCAACAGTTACAGAACAAAGCGTCGATGCCTATTCGTCGTATTAGCGTATGCACCGACAGATTGCAGTACAACTGAAATCAAGGATGAATTCTACAAGGATTTTTCTCAACTACTCCAAAGTGCTCGATCAACGGATACCCACGCTTAAGTGCCAGCGATTGTTGCAAATCGGCATTTGAAGCGGAGCTCTCCGATCGCCTGTCAGTTCAACCGCCAGCCGAAGGACTCAATGAACGCTGGAAGCAAATCAAGGAAGCTATGCAAATATCGCCAAAAACAACGTCGGACCCTGCCTCAAGCTCAAAACACAAACGATGGGTATCGTCGACCTCGGTTGCCCTGCTGGACGCCCCCAGAACCCTTCCCCTCGATGCCGCATATGACACAGGGCGCAAATCCCTCAAACGCCAGCTCATCAAGAGTCTGAGGAAAGACCACGAGAAGTGGTGGCCAGAAAGGTGTAGAGAGATGGAGAAAGCTGTGACTATCGGTAATAGTCGCAATCTTTTCCGTCTAATTACAAATTCCGGCCCTAGGAAAATAGGCGTGAGGTAATTCAGGAATCCGATGGAACACTGATTCGTCATTAGCAACGCCGTCTTGACCGTTGGGCTCAATATTTCAAGGCTCAGTTCCACTGGACCCATCGACGTCTGAACTATCACCCTCCACTGCGACTGCGCAAATACTGCCAGTTGATGCCAGTCCTCCATCTAAATTGGAAGTTTCCCGGGAAATAAGCTATCTCAAACGGCATAAGGCTTCCGGCCTGAACAGACTGTCCCCATCGGCTTTTAAGGATGGAGGCTCAACGTTAGTCTTGGAGTTAATGAAACTTCTGGCTTCAATGTGGGAGAGGGAAGATTTTCCAGCTGAATCGTGTGAATCGGTGATCATACCGATTTACAAGAAAGGTGACAGATCCTCTTGTGAAAAGCACAGAGGAATTAGTTTAATTAACATAGCTTCTAAACTTCCCGATGGTATCCGTCAATTGTCTGCCGTACGTGAAGAGTTCACGCGTGAAAACCAGGCTGGTTTTAGATCTGGTCGAGGTTGTATCGACCACATCTTCATTCTTCGCCAAACTCTAGAGCACCAACATTCTTTTTGTCGATCCACCATCTCTATTTTCCTGGATCTGAAAGCGGCTTTCGACTCAGTCGACCGCTCGAAACTCTGGTGCTGCCTTTCCCTGAAAGATGTCCCGAAAAGTTTATTTCAATATTGCTATCCCTCCATACTCATAGCCAAACTTACGGCACTTTTTCACCCGGGTTCACCACGGAAAGTGGTGTTCGTCAGGGTTGCCCTCTCTCTCTCTCAATTCCACTTTAACTTTGTTATAGATCTGATTATGGAAACAGTCCTATCCTCGTGCGAGGATAGTGGCATCGATTTACTCCCAGGTGGCAGGCTGTCTGATCTAGAGTACGCAGACAACGTTGTGCTTCTAGGTGAGCATCCAGGTAAGTTACAAGCTTTTCTGGATAGTTTGAGTGCTAGTATGTCCATGTTTGGTATGCGTTTTGCACCTTCAAAGTGTAAAATGCTACTACAAGACTGGGTTGATCCAGCACCCAGCCTCACTCTTACTGGGGAAGTAATAGAGCAAGTGGATAAGTTTTGTTATTTGGGCAGCTACATCTCACCCGGTGGAGGCATCACGGATGAAGTGTCAGCTCGCATACAGAAGGCTCGATTGGCATTGTCCAACTTGAGACATCTGTGGCGCCGTCGCAACATCCGGCTGTCTGTGACGGGTTGAGTGTATGCCGCGACAGTTCGGCAAGTTCTGCTATATGGAGCAGAAACGTCACCATTAAGAAAAGAGGACAAAGGTGGGCTGTCGGTGTTTGAACACCGCTGTCTACGCAGCATTGCACGAATCTGGTGGGGTAGCCCGACGAGCAATGCTGAAGTAGGCGAAAACTTTTAGGCAATTGCGGTCGCTCACTGGGGCAAGTGGTCGACGTCCATAAATTACACTGGCTGGAACATGTATTAAGCATGTCACCAGATAGGTTACCACGGCGAGCGATGTTCGCCGAAGTAGATACCGAGTGGGAAAAAGCCAAGGGTGGTCAAACTAAGACCTGGCAGGAGGATATGAAACCCCTAACTGGGAGACTGGGTCACATAGGTCCTGTTAGGCTCCCTGGCTGGGATGATCGTAACCGATGGTTAGAGACACTAAGTAATATGGCTGGGTGTCGCAACCAGTGGCGTTCGTGCATCTCCTCAATTTCTTTGCAACCATTGACCACTGAACTTGTCAATCTTCTCTTCGATTCTACTTTGAACCTTTCCTGTCTTTCTCCTAATGTTCATCCAAATGGGTAGCCGAAAAACAGCAACTGGAACCGGCGCACGAAAGTGCATGGTTAATGGTTGTGGAAACTTAAACTGAAACCGATGTTCCCATTTGTCTCAATAATCGAATAGTCAAGAAAATCACACTGAACAGACTTAAGTGAGTCATTCAACAATGATAAAACAAATAAATAACAGATGATAAAATCGTTTGGCACGGGGGCGGGGGGAGAGATCAAGACAAGTTGGAAAAGAGATAATCAACATTCCAGTTCCATGACCGGATGTCGCTCACATGTGTGCCAAACAGTTTGATATAAATTGCGATGTATTAGCCTGTTGAAGAATCATCGCGGACGAGCGAATTCGCTACTATGTGTTTTCTCACAACGGGTATGGATGGTATATTCGGACAAATGATAAAATGGATAAGGTTGGAGGATGCTTCCAAAGTGAGTCTGTTAGGCTTTTAACTGAACTGTAATGGGTCATAGACCACTGGTATGTGAAGAACACAAGTTACTGAACTGGAGCGGTTTGACTGTGATTGTGTCAAAACGATTTACAGGGTTAACGGATGAAATACAGATAGGTAAACATGAATAATGAGGAGGTCGATAGTGAAGCCGATCGGTCACGTTCCATCTGATGCTATTGAGCTGCGGCATGATTTGAGCTCCTATGGCACTTTTCAGTCAACCAAAGCTCTGAAGGTGTTAATGCTCTGGAATGAAACGTTTGGAGGGAATAGAAGATTTCAATACTTTGGGGATTGGAATTATTGTGACCGGCCTCCAGCAATTTGCGATAGTAGAAGTGTAAAGTCGTTTAGTTACACTGCCCCAACTAGGGAAACAGCACTAAGTTTGAAGATTGTCGGAGGTAAACCTTTCGGGCCTGCTGCAAAGGACAAATAACAACTATTCGGCACAGAGTTTTTTTAGAACTGTTCCGCATTGCAGATATTTTGTGGCAAGTAGGCCAGAAGAATCGCGGACGACTGGCGAAGGAATGCAGCATTGAGATTATTAGTATCAACATCCAGCTCCTACCATGCTTTCTTCCACAGAGAAGTCTGATGCCCTGCTGCTTCCAGTCCCCATAATTCAGTCGACGAATAATGCTTCTACCCCGTTATTTGAGCTCTGATAAGTCTAGACAAGTGCCTGACAACTAAAGCATGGATGTTCCTTTTGTCTTCGCAACGACTTCAGTATTGGAGAGGTTACCCTTCCATTGGAGGCTTTCATACTGTTAACAGTGCTGCAGCGATCATAAATGGCAATAATTGTCCGCGTGAATAAGGGGACATGTGAATAGAGACGATGTTGAAAACCATTAAGAAGCCTTTCTAAGAGATTCAATGAGAAATTACGAAAAGGAAACTGATATGGTCAGAGAGGTTCATAGGCGCCAGGTGAATAAACCTTATATTGAATAAGCAGTGGTCGCTGGTGATGGTTGGTTGTTGATTACTCTACCTAGTATAGTTACCTCCTGTGCGAGAGTGACAAAGATCTGTCATACCCAATGACAAACGAGTATAGGTACTAGTACATTTAGTGTCCCCAACTGTTATGTGTAGAGTGCCATCTAAAACCAGGACAATGGAAGGCAGAAATGAGTCGGATAATGACTTACGATGTGAGTGTGTACAGGAAGGTGTTGTGTAGAAGTAAGTAAAACGGGAAATGATTGGGTAACATTGCACGGTGAGGCGTTCGTAATTTTTTGAGCAGTACTGACATCACATGGGACTTGCCGCACCAAGAAACGTTGACATATATTATAACACCCCTCCAATTTTCTTTCCTCCGGTTACGCAATACTGTAGATGAACTTGAAAACCGTTCATCGACGTTAGAGTGTCATCGATATCCTTATTCAGCGCTGATTCTTGCAGGCAGACTATACAAGCGTTCGTATGAATTCCTGAACAAATCCGCCATTTTTGAAAACGGTGACCGAGCGTCCGTGCTGAACAATGGTCAGAGGAGTACAACTTAGGACAACTTGTTAACACACGCTGGCGTTTTTAGGTCCAAACTGAACAGTGAGAATCGGGAGTTTCACCAGTTGATGAATGATCAAAAGTTTCCCTAGCATGTTTTAGACAAACAATGTGGTCCCGTGAGTAGGAATGACGCATGAATTTGACTGAAAATGGGAGAATTCCAACCATGTGACCGAGAGTCTGGAGTGTAGCGCAGCCAACCAAAGTGCACTCGTTAGATGTCACTGTCTGTTCATCAAATTTACTCTCAAAGTACACCGCAATTTTGAGTGCGTCAGGTTTAATGATGATCGGCCGTTCCGCTATCGTATCTTAACCTAATCACTAGCATTTATTTACTGAAAAATTGTTTTGTGTGATCCTGCCATCGTTCCCATTTCTTGTTTAGTGGCTTTCAGTTTCACTCTTCCTGAATGCACCTTTGTTTTTCGTCAAATAAAAATAAGTAAGAGCATTACCTGTCCATTAAATGACGTCATAATTCCTATAATACATACTTAAAATTAGTCCTTTTTTAAATTTTTGCGCGATATTCCATCGTCCTGATGGTGTAGCTTAAGGTGCTCCATCCAGTCAAAAACTTTCAAATTCTTTCCAGATTCATTATTTCCAACCAAAAGAATCATCCAGTGACAGTAACACAACTGATTTGGTCGCGGAACTCGGTGATTGTCGTGTTCCTGAACGAGTACTGAGTTCGTCTATCCGGACTGTTCAACCAAACAACCTGTCACATGTCGCTGTTCAGAAACAATTTAATGCAAGGTCGTCGGTGGTCGCTACTACATCAGCATCGAATTCATCTATGGAGCAATATCTGGAGTTTCCCCCTAAACGTGTATTGCGAAAGGTGGGTCAAACTTTAGTCTTGATTTGTCAAAATGTTTGAGGTATATCTTTACTCGTTCACGTTCATCTTATCCCACTGAACTTTCGCGTGTTGATTGTCATCCTGTTTGTAGAGGGGATACTAACAGGCACCTTGATGTTGCCTTAGAAAGTGATTTGAAACATTCTAATTACATGAACAGTGATGAACGTCTGTCCTTTCCCGCTTGTGAGTTTTTTGTTGTTGTCGAGCCACAATAGAAGTGGCACTCGCAAAAGTGATGGACAAGAACCTAGAGCGTAAACCCACAGATGACGTGCACCATATCACAGAGTAGGAGCACATACACAGATATAAGTCTGAACACTACGGAGCACGTATCTCAATGTGCACACAAGTCGTCTAGCACTAAGGAAACGACCACGGCACAGGTTGCACGACACAAACACTGGTAGCTCTCTCCCGGTTACGGAAATGAGAACACAGGCGGAGAGCAGCGAACGTGTACTTTGCTCCCCAAAGCAAGTTAAATTTACATCATTGAACCATCTGCTTATAAATTGTCTTGTCGGGGAGAGTGGGTATCGCTAAGGCGCACTGAATGGCTACAAATCGGACTCACGGGGATACCACACTGTCGCTTTGATAGTACAGTGGCTACACAGAATCGCTTGGTTTGATTACAGGATTATTACAAACAATTCATTGAAGAATGTTGACCGCTGCTTTTGATTTGCTTATCATTTTCCTTTCTGCTCAACTGTCTGTTTCTGATTCGTTCAAGGCTATTCGACAGTTGATTCACCGTGTTACTCAGGCTGTAGCTGCTGCCCGTGCTGTCGGTGCTCATGTGGCCAGTCGAAGTTCGTCCAGCTCGGATGATGAGTCAATGAGAACACAAAACTCCCGGTACCGCTTCGTCAAAGATCACTTACACAAACTGGGTCATGCTAGGACCTGTGCAGACACGATTCCTGATGCCGCGTCATCCTCTGATAAAGTGAGTTGACAGTGGTAAGGATATTTTCTTTTGTTGAATATTCTAAATTTGATGGTGAATCTCTCTCTCTCGGTTCTGATGGTCCGACATTTCTTGTTTTTCTTCAATGTTCTAATGCCAAGAGCGATTAGACATAGGTTTATCTCATTTTCCAGATTGGTACCTTAAAGATTAGTTGATTGGGGATACTGGCGGACGTGACAGGTGACCGACATCATTCTCGTTCTTGTTGTCATTTCCTATCAGGTGTGCATGCGCAGTTAGATTAAGTGCTCTGTGTTAACTCTCTTTAGATTCTCTTTTCTATTCCCTCCCCGTCGTACACCGTACACATTTTTTATATCCATATATATTGCGAATTTTGCAGCGATTAATAGAGTTCGCTTCACTGTATTTCGTTATACGTTGATTTGGACGAGTGATGTAATGACTCACAGCTTTTGTTTTTCGTGAGCCGTACTTTATGTCAACTATTTTCTAATCAAGTCTGAACTAGAATTCGTTTCCCCTCTAAACAAGAATTTTTGGCACGAAAGTAATCAGGTATCCGTAGAAAAAATTGTTCGTTCTCCAATCAGTTTTCCTCATAGAATATCTTCACGAATATTTTGTGAATAGTCATTACTTAAAAGCCCAGCCACCAAAACCAAGGCTAAAACCCCTAACCCATGGACGGTTGAGTGCTCGAGTCGTATAGCCTTGTCGGCTATTATACCTGGTTGATCTCTAGTTCTCCTTCAGTGATTTTCTTTGATTAACTGTGCATTCGTTTCACGCTCCGATCGCATTAGAATTAAACTTCAAGTAATCGATGATTTTGCAACTTGGCATATCTGCGTAGTAAATTTTTTTCATGGTACCTACATGTGTACTTGTCAGCCAAATTGATCTCATATGATGTAAGGTTGAACTTGCTTGCTCCGGTTGGAAGGTAACACCATCTTACCGACTGAAACGTGACTCCCTCCTCCGGTGATAGTGAACCAGATGTGTTATATTTAAATGTGTGTGTGTGCGGGTGTGTGTGTGTGGAGAGAGGGGACAAATAAAAGTAAGTTTTTTTGTTTATAACTGATACTATGTAGTTGAACTGTTGCATTGGAAAAATAATTTTCAGTCTCTATCTCTTAACATCCCCATGTTACCCATTGGTGGATATTGTTATACACTCTTATCATATTGAAACAGAATTGTATGAACGTTTTGTGCATTCAATGAACCTTCAGGGACAGGTACAACTGACTAATCCCACCACTAAGTATGATGACTCAGGCTTTCACTTCAATTCCTTTGTTTAGACACAAAACCTTTCGGTGTAGGTTTTTCAGCATCAGAGTACCACAAAACTGAGTGTTCACCCACCTGCTTTGGATCTCGGGTATCGGGCATGGATCGTAATTGACTCCTCTTACTTAAGTGATGCCTTGACGAATGACGGTAGCATATTCAGGGTTACCACACGTATATTCAAGGCAGGTGCTACTTGTGCTGGACGTAATGCTCTATGCAAGTGAAAAGGACGCCTACACCATATAGCAGTGTGATCATTTATACTCTACGGTATGCGACTCTGAGTTTGTGTGAGGAGGACATCCGTGTTTACGTAGTTTGAGGGTATGAAAACCCTAACCAGGACACTGGGTCANATAGGGACCCGAGATCATGGTAACCGGTGGTTGGAGACCCTGAGTGGTATGGTTGAGTGTCGCAAACAGTGGCGCTCGTGCATCTACTCATTATTCTTGTAATCCCAGTATATATGAATTATCTACTTCTTTGACTGTGCTCTCAACATTCCAATCTTCATTCTACTTTTTTATCCAAATGGGCAGCCAAAAGACAGCAACTAAAACCGGCGCATGAGAATGCATGGTTAATGGTTGGAAAACCTAGAGACTGAAACTGGGATCTGATGCAAGTTGAGTAGAGCGCGGTAAGCCGTTATGTATTTGAGAATGTTTCACG